AAGAAAAAAGTCTGTGTGTTTGGTTGTCCTCCCAGTAACTCAGTCACTACTGTAGCTATTTTCACCAACTTTTCTACAATTCTTTTCTGGGTCCTGCAAAAGGTCGACGTCCACATTTAAAAAAAAAAAAAAAAAAAAAGTAACTAAAATCAGAGATATTAATTAAAAACTCGGAAAAACGATAATTTTCGCCGTCATTTTTCTGAGTGGCGACAGTCTCGCAAGTTGGAGATGAAAATATGCTTTATTTCGAAAGTTGTTGCCACTGATCGCTTTCAAATCCTAGAGTTAAAATAAAAAATTTCTAAGTTTTGCGATGAAATAAAAACAGCATTACCAAACATTAAATACATTTTTTCCAATTCCAAAAATTCGTGGGAAGCCATTTCGACTTTTTATCCATCTTCGTACGACTTTGATCAGCCGAAATACTAATTAAAAATTTTGAAAGCGCTAATTTTCGCACTTATATTTCCGAGTGGCAGCAGTCTCACGCGTTGGAGATAAAAATGCTTTATTTCGAAAAGTGTTGCTATTGCTCACTTTCAAATCGTAGAGTTAGTTAACCAAAAAATTTGTAAAATTTACAAAATCTGTAAAGAAGAATGTCTAATTGTTTTTTCGCGTTTTATGGATTTTTGAACAATTATGGAAAATTGTTTGCCACATTTAATCGACTAAAACTGAATATAGATGAAATATTGGATGGAGCTTGAGCTTTTATGACCATTCCATTAGAAAGACGAAAATCATTAAAAACTTCGTGCTATTTTTGCCAATATAATGAGAGAGAATTAAGCTTATTTTTCTATCGACAATTTTTAAGTGGGTTTCATATCGCACCAGAGTGAAAAATGCATGACTATGAATCTTATTTTTTGCCTTGTTATTACAGAAGGATTACAACGGTATCGTTCTCTCTGCTGTTAGATGCATTACTCTCAATTAACTTAACTGGCCTCCGATACTTACGTTAGTCATAAATAAAAATTAAATTCTACATTCTGATTTAACTTTAAAGTATATAATATTTTAAGCTTTATGCAATAATAGTCAATAATAGCAATTATTCTTCGTTTTAAATTAACAGCGATAAGAAACATGAACGAAAATGAAAACAAAATTCTACCAAAAGCCATTCCGTTTCAACGAAAGTATACAATACTTTATGTAATTATAATCAATAATAATGATTATTCTACGTTTTAGTTGAATAGCGATAAGAATTTTGAAAGAAAACCTAATTTAGAAATTGAATGAAAAGTGTACAATATTTTATGTAATAATAATCAGCAATAGCAATTCTCATTTTTAAGCTGAACAGCAATCAGGATCATCAGCGAAATCGAAATTTTATATTCTAGTTTGACTTAATTATCCACAGTGATGTAAAGTGTACAATCCTTCATATCATAAGAATCAATAAAATTAATTATTCTTCATTTTTAAACTGAACACCAATAATAATATTCATGAACGAAAATATAACTCCATTCTGGTTTACAATAATTTAGTATGCGGGACAGCGATAAGAATGAAGAATGAAAACTATATTGTACATTCTGGTTTAATAATAATGAACAGTAATCTAAATTATTATTTTTTTTACTTCAGGGGCAATAAGAATGACAAATGAAAAAGAAATTCTGTATTCTGGTTTAACTGAAAACTATATAATATTTTATAAGTTATATAATAATACCTAATTGTAACAATTATCCTTCATTTTAAATTCAACGGCAATAAAAATCATGAATAAAAACGGAATTCTATTCTTTGGTTCTACCGAAAGTATAGAATACTTTAATGTAATAATAATCAACGATAGCAAATATTCTTAACTTTAATCTGAAGAGCGGTAATAATCGTGAACGAAAATAAAGGTACTGTATTCTGGTTTAACTCAAAAATTTGTAGTAATTTCTACTTTAAGAAATAATAATCAAAATAGAAACAGAGTGGTTTCTGATTAGCAGTTTTATTTCATTCTAATTACAAATAAAAGCTCTAACAAATATTACATGTAATAAGTGTAAAGCAAAATTTTACTAAAATATTGCAACACTGCTTTCTTATTACTTGCATCATACTTTTTATTGATACGTAAAGGTAAAGGTAAAAGTATGGGCGGACACCAGCGATGTACCATAGGCCAACTGGTAATGCCTTCCCATACTAACTCTATAAAAAAAAGAGGGGGGGGATTTTATAGGAATTTACATAGACTGAAGCTTTCCAAAAGGTCTAGAGTTTGCCTATTATGGTATATCGTGCAATCCCACAGTACGCCCTGAATCCAGTATTTAATTAAGATAAAGATGCAGGATATAAGTAGATTACAAAATACTAATTCAGAAGTCAAACAACAAAAATCAGCGTTATATTTACAAAATTTTCACAGGACTAGTTTCGATGGTTTTACCGAACCACCATCTTCAGCTGCAAAAATTTTGCGGTTTTGCAGCTGAAGATGGTGGTTCGGTAAAACCATCGAAACTAGTCCTGTGAAAATTTTGTAAATATAACGCTGATTTTTGTTGTTTGACTTCTGAATTAGTATTTATTCGGCGCGTTATTGTGTCTTAGATTACAAAATATTTGGAACACAATTTGAGATTCACAAGATAAATTGAACATCTGATTTGGTGCAACAAAAATAGGAGATGAACATAATTAATAAACAGATAAACATAATGAGATAATTATAAATTCGTACTGGCAACACGATGTTAAAACGAATTGTAATAATAACGCAAAAGAGGTAGGTGTCCATGGGTTATTTCAGATATATTGGTTTATTGCAGTTTATAAAGTTCATGAGGGGAGCCATTTTGTCCATAATCACAGCATATAAAAGTTTATAAGGACTTGACAGAGATCTAGGTGTAAGTCCACATACTAACGTGAATTCTTTGAGATAGTAACAAGAACTATAATACGTTAAATGTTAAAAATAGCGTTCTTAATTTTTCTATCACCCTGATTCCTATGTAAATATAAATTTTGCAGTTATTAGTCAGAATTTGGAAGAATATCTAAAAATCCAAATATTATGTATTTAATATTAGTATTTTCTAGTAGGAAATAAAAGCGACGAGAAAATAACTTTAAACCGAAGTCAAAAAATCTACTTTAGATCTTGATATAAGCAACGCCCAGTTTAATAAACTGTGAAAATAAAATTATTTCCATTGAACATAATGATTAATGAACATTGAGCATTTTTTCATAAATTCACAAACTTTACTATATTTTTAAGATTAAAAAACCGACATTACCTACAGTGTTCATGAAATTTATTTTCCCTATTGCTATTTTTAATTACTTGAAAATTAATTTAGTTAATTTATAGGAAAATGAAGAAAAGAGGACTGGATTACATATTTCAGATCAAATAATTTTGGGGATATTAATGTATGGTTAAAAAATGAAATTATAAGGAAACCATGCTAAGTTTAGGTCCGAAAAATTTATTTTTATTAATAAAAATATTATTTCTAGAAACGGCAGTTCAACATTTATTTCAGTAAAATTAAACTTAATATATGGGAGAGACAGGTATAGATATACAGTTATTAACATGAAAGAGATCAACTTTGTGCCATTGGTCATTAGATATAATCCTCATATTGCTAGCTTTGTAGAACTGCTTTCGTTTGGTGTGGTTTAAAGGCTAATGAGATGTACTTGAAATTCTTTTGCGTAACTGCAATATAAATACCCTCGTCTTAAAATTGTACGTATTGCTTATAGTAGTTAAGTACTTATTGACATGATATTTTGATGCACATGGGTCCATTTTGAGGCGTGATCAACTGAAATTCTTTTTTATCTACGGAAGGCATGTATGTCAGTCTAGAACTTAAAAAGAAAGAAATTTTTATTTTAGATTAATTTTGGTTTAGAGAAAAATTTTGCGTATTTCGAAACGTAAGTCCTTCGAAATGCACTGAATTTTTTTGCAAGCCCAACGTCAAGCTAAGAAAATTTTAATTAGTTTAAAATATTAAATTCCTCTACACCAGAATTTCGTTAAACAATGCATTACAAAAGAAGATTATGGACTAGAGGGTAATTTTTACATTCAGTGCATCATACTTATATAAAAATAAAGAAATGCAATTTTCGACGCAATAAGTATAAAACATTAATAAGCTTTTCAAACATTGTACATGATAAACGATATCGTAATTAAGTACATGTTTAAATTAATACAACTTAAAAATTAAAAGAATGTTTTAAACTTTTACTTAACGAATTTTCCCAGCTGGCAACAGCTAAAAAAAGTTATGTATATATTTCAGATTTTACGTTAGTAATAGTTAATAGTTAATTTAAAATTAATAGTTAATTTAAAGAATGGAAGTCATTTTTTTGAATAATGTGTTTAAGTATTATTATTATTCATCATCGTAAACTAACATTTCTGGGCATTTTTGACATTTCTCTAATTTTTTTATGTTTTAAAAAAGTCTCATGTTTAAAAAAGTCGAAATAACTGTATGCAAACAAATTATTCCTTAATTAAACAATGATATTCTAAAGATTAAATGTATTAACACATAACAAAAACAAATTGATTGGCGAAAGAGTGTCTGTAAACAAATTAGTTTTATGGTACGGAGTATTAGAGCATTTGGGAGCACCTGTTTCCAAAATATAGACATATCATAAAACTATAAGAACTGTTTTATTTCGTACTAATTATGCTTTTTCACTAAACACATGGTAAATGAATAAAAATATAATAAAAAATAGCAAAAATTCTAATTACAACTGAATTTAATGGTTACGACATTCAGTCAAGGAGTAAATTTTTAACAAAATTAAATTTCCTGAACACACTTTTAAAGGCAAATAATCCCTCAAATCGTGAAATATTTTCCAGAACCAAAAAATTAAAAAGCGGAATTATTCTTTCTTTGCCCATTTTACAAATTTTACACGTAGATGCTTTTTCGAGGCTTTACTAGAGACATACTTCAGAGGAAAAAACTTACCAAGAGTAGCACTTTAAAGCCCATGTTAATCCTAATCGACGACAAGAGTGGAGTGTCCGTGTCCTGTCTAGTATCTTGTTATGCCGTTTCCCTTTTGACCAATCCTAAAGTCATAACTTCAAAGAGCAAGCAAGCGTGAATTCCACTTTTCCAAGACTCGTGCACAGCAAATGCACGGCAGGTAGGATAGGGTTGCCGGATTTGTTCCTTCATCGTCTTGTGGTTTTTTTAAAAAAAGAAAGGAAAGTTTCATCGAGATGGTTTGGGAACTTGTTCGAACAAAAGACCCTTTAACGTAATGGGCACGAAAAGGCGAGTTTTGCTTTTAAAATAAAAAGTAAGATGCAGTATGCATTTATGTACTATTTGCATGTTTTATGATTGCGACCTCGATTATTCGTCATGTTTATGCAATTTTCAAACGCAGCATGTTACATGCACAAGTGAAAGTGCTCAAACTGATTGAGGTTTTGTCATAGCTGAATAAAGAAGAATATTTTTGTTGAGAGATACTGGAATGAAATTCGGTCGTATTTAGCTAATTTCTGAAGAAAATTAATGCACAGGTATTTGCTAACTTACTGTGGGATTATCTCAACACATCCTAAAGGGAAAAATGTCATAAACCGTTAGCGACGCTGACTGCCGTACCGAAGGGCCCGGGTTCGAATCCCGGAGAAGGCGTGGATGTTTGTAAAGGTACAGTGTCTGTGCAGACTGGGGGCACTCTAAATATGCGGCGAGCCGAAAGTCATCTGGGAAGGTTGGAAGTAGAGGAAGAGGGGTGGGACACTCTCGGACCCGATCCCTCCTGGCGTACTCTCTCTCAGAAATTACGGGCAGAACTGAGCTGAAGCGGGGCTGTCACCTGGATGTCGTTCAAGGGTCCTTAAGGACAGGCGTATTTGAGTCCTGGTCACGATGAATATCGTGAGCTCGTGCTGACCTTTCTCAGGCAAGTGATATTAGTAACAACAAAAACGATTCTAAAATAAAGTTTTGAAAATCTCATATAGTTTATTGAAATATCGTGCATTTCTATGCCTAAGCTGAGAATTTTTAACAGATTTTGTCTCTGCTTAAAAATATGGGTCAGCTTATATAGGCGTTCAAAATTATTCACAAATTTAAAAAAATCTTAAAGGTTTCAGATTTTGAATTACGTCCAAAGGAATTTTTTTTAACGTTTCGTGTTTTACCTTTATTTATTAAATATTATATTCACCGCACTTATATCCTAAAATCCAATTCAACAGCAGTATCACAAGATCCTTTATTTATTAAGTATCATGTTCTTTGCACTTAAACCATAAAATTAAGTTCAACAACAATGTCGCAAAATAATTTTTAAATGAGCATATCTTTAGAATTTGCGGTACTGGAGATAAAAATGTTTTCTTTTACCGTACAGTGTTGCCATTGCTCGCTTTGAAATCGTTGAATTTGTTACTTAAAAATTCTTTAATGCCTGACAAAATATGAAATAAGATTATAAAAAAAATTCCAGATTCCAAATTAGGGCTTTTCCAGATGTCCATATTCGCAGGAGGATTACGTCATTCAAAATTCGATGGCTCTATGTATCGTGGTTTTATCACAATGCGAAAAATATACATAGATTTATGCAGATTTTTTATTATTTAATTTCTTCAAAGATAATGCAGGACTCTAACATTTGGTGGCAACAGTTTGAAAAGTGGATTGAACGCAAAATCGCAAAACGAAAATAATAGTCCTCAGGGACAAAGCTCCTTTGGACTAATAAATAGATCACTGAAATGAATATTTGAAACTATACTAATAATTGAAATAATTTGAATTAATTATATTATTATTTGTTCAATTCTAAACAAATTTCTGGTACTTAATGTATTTTCTCGCCAGGAATCGGCAGAGATCCTACCAAACTTATACCAGTTATTCCGTCGGAATTCGAAAGAAACAGATCACAGTTTATTCAATTTGACCAACAGATACAAAGTGCAGATATAGCATAGGAAAAACCTTAAATAAAATAAAAGCTTTGCTCTGACATATGTGGCAAAAAATTCATAAAACTCGCGTCTATCCTTTCAGCAGTCAAAATTCACTAATGCCGTTTAAAATAGGGGAACAGAGGTTTTTTTTTTTCACTTGTTTTCATTTCCTTAAATACTATTCCTTAATTGGTAGCGATGTTTTTGTTTTTGAAAGTACCTTAAGTGTAGCGATGTTTTTCAAGTGGTAACTTCAAGAATAGAACTTGAGTCCGATAAAATCATAGCTTTATCAAGAGGAGAGTGATGGGCAGAAAGCTGTTGAAGGACAGATGGTGCTATATATAAGTAGCAAATTACATAAATAGCAGATTTTTCAAAATTCACATCCGAACTGTTTTTTTTTTTTTTCCTTTCAATTTTCAGAGATTTCTTTGTGCAACAGACAATAGAATCGGGTGAATAGCATCCATCCGCATTTCACCATTAATATCGAAGTCATTTGTCTCATAAATAGCATCATCTTCAGCACCGTCTATAGCACTACTGCTGCAATATTTTTTGAACGATCGTATAATCGTTTCTGGCTTATTCTGGAGAATAGTATGGACTTCGTAGTCACCTTCAGATAAATAAATCCAAGTTACATAACACATTATTCGAATTTTGGCCGATGTACAGTCCAATTTACAGAGCTCAAAACGGATTTTCGATTTTTTTCTGAATTTTTGCAGCAAAATCTATCTGTCGGCTATACACAGATACGCAGATCTAAGTATACTGTTAAAACCCCCCAAAAAGATCATATCTTAGTCTAATCCAACTTATACTTGAGGAAAATATTTAACAGAAGAGCTATTTCATAACGAAGTTTTCAAAACCTCCTATAATTTGTTGAATATCACGATTGAAAGTTAAAACCAATATGGATGCACAGGTGACGACCATTAATGCATGCAGACGAAAATTCACTAATCATAAAAAACTAAGCATTGAACTTAAATTAGTTACTTATTGGAAACGATGCTACAATAAACAAAAACGACAGTTTCACTTTTTGCAGTGGAAAACTGCAAGAACGGTTCTTAACTTAAATGCTTACAGAACCTACAGGAAAGTAACTCCAATATTTTACAGTTTCTTAGAGAAATTGTTAATTCCAACGAAGACCTTCAAACCTCTGGTACATTGCTGAGATAAAATCTACTGTTTTGCTGTGCAATTGAATATCAATAATAAGAAAAAGTTCAATTATTCACGCAACATTACATTCGGCAGTAAATAAACCCGACATCCGTTCACTCAATTATAAATCTCTACACAGGTAATCTCAAGTTAACTGCCAGAAGAACAACCCATTTCTACACGACTCTTCAGGAAGCGGAATATTTACAGGCTGCAGACATATGGTCAAGAAGGTTTTAAACAAATTAGAAGAATATTTTTATCATATAGGGGACAGTACTGTTCAAAATGTTTAGTCTGTTATAACATCTCAGCTTTAAATAAAAAACGAGGAGTAATAAGGTTCGAATTTTGTATCATGTTATGTTATCATTCATTTACTCCCCTTTCGTTTATTATTTCATTTAACTTTATCAACTTTTAATTTTAACTTTTTTATTTCATTTAACTACAGCATGGTAGTTACAGCACTGTAGCATTTTACAACATCATAGTTAAAGTCACTATTTATCTGTCTATTATTAAATTTATAAGGTATTCCTCCTCCTCTCTTAGCATGCCTTCGTGGTGGTCAGCACACTCGGCACGTATTCGAGAGGGCCGGGGTTCGAGTCCCGGCGAGGCATTGCTCATTTTTCATCTGCCCTGCTTCGAAATAACCTAATGTCACTAAAAAAAAAATGAGGCGGTGGATGATGATTCGCCGCCACCAAGATTTGACGATTGGGTCCCCTAGTCCCCAGTCGCCCTTTAAGAGGGGCAGTATATAAGGTATTTCCCGGCCTTCGTGGTATAGTGGGCAGTACACTCGGGGTGTATTCAAGAGGTCCGTGGTTCGAGTCCCGGGGAGGCATTGCTCATTTTTTATCGGTCTTGCTTCAAAAATTTACCTAATGACTACAAATTCCATGTGTTAATATTTTATTTATATCTTTACATTTGTTATATTTTTAAATCTGCATTACTTATTGTTTTTACTAATTATTATTCTTTTTTTTTTTTTTTTTTTTTTTTTAATCAGATTTTAAGAGCGGAAAGGCCAACTCAAAACTCCAAAGCGGGAAATGGGATGGATGATTTGAGGATGTGTATTGGAGTAGAGACGTACTGGTGCTTATTGTTGTGCCGCTGTTAGGTAGAGTATTAAGTGTCTTTTTTATTTCACAATATTAAATTTTTTATGAAAAATCTTTTTTTTTGATAGCTTGTTTCTTTATTAAAATTACAACTTAACATTGAAACATTTGATTTGTTAGTCAAACAACAAAATTCAGCGTTATATTTGCAAATTTTCACAGGACTAGTTTTAATGGTTTTACCGAACCATCATCCTCAGCTGCCAAAGCTCAAATGAAACAGATAAGATATAGTTTGTTTGACTAGATACAGTTTGTTGTTTGATAAGATATAGTTTGTTTGACTAGATATAGTTTGTTGTTTGATAAAATATAGTTTCTTAAATTGTTGATTGATTTACTGTTCGACGCGTTTATTTTATTTATTGAAACAGTTCATCGAACTGATCAATTGAGATTCTTATTTATTTTTATGAAATTCGTCATCACCAGAATTTGGCAGTCGCCTTTTAATCCTTTGCGGCACAGTGCGTCCGGTCTAGACACACCTAAAAATTTCCTTCTGTGTGCACAAAAAAAAAAAAAAAAAAAAAAAAAAAAAAATTGAATGAAAATTTTTCATTTCTAGAAGACAAGTGCCGAAAATGCAGTGACAATAGCGATGAAGATGATAAAAAGGATTTTTTTTTCCTAATAAACATTCATTTTGCGCTAAACATATGCTGTGAAAAAACTTAGTTTATACCATTTTGTCTCGTAAAAACGAGTTCATATAATTATTTAATAATGAATTTGATAAAAATGATTTTTAATTAACTTCTGCTTTGTACTAACTATACTTTATGCATTTATACTAACCAGTTATTTTATGCTAATTAAGCTTTCCTGTATTTCTCGCTTTCC